GGTTACGATTTGTTTTGTTTTTAGTTTATTCAAAGGAATGTAGAAGCAAAAGTTCATCAAGGAAAAAATATGGTAAAGTACTAACAATAAAATGCAAGCTCATGCATAATTCTTCAGTTAAATGTTTTTTATTATATGTGTATATCTTATATAATATAGTAACACTTCTCAAAGTTGAAGTTATGAAAAGATTTTACACTTTTAACATTTGTCTTTTTGAATTTATTTATTAAAACAACATCAATTTGGGCCTTATACTATCTTGGGCCATCTTCAAACAACCCAACTCGAAAGTCTTTTTCTCCACCCTCACCACGGCGACTCCTCCACAAATCCATCGGAGAACTTGAAACAACAGCCGTTACACCTAATCCAGCTAATTCAATACACTTCATATCCCTTATTAACTCCGCTCTTAATTGCCGCTCCATTTTTAAGACTCCCCTCTACGTCTCGAAAATTCACCACACAAATACTCAATTCACAAGAGACACAACCACGCCTCCTCTAATTCATACTTCAAAAATAACCCAAACTCTTGGTCTGACATCCTCCGAAAATGGCCGCAAACGACGCTACAAATTAGCACCATCTGAACAACGTCACTTTCGACGAATAACGCCCCAGTCGCCCCACTCAGCATATCGTATGCCGCCTCCTCCGTTCTTGGGATTCGTCTAACATAATCAACGATGTCTATATCCCCTTCACACGAGTTTAAGGACATGTTCAACTCGTTACTAAGATTATTACCCGTACAAAGTTTATCCTTCATCAAATTTTTGGCTTGCATTTTCTACGTCTTCACATGGTATTACCGCTTAGGCTAGAGAACTAGCAGCTATTGGATTAATATATAGGGAATATTATCCCAATTGCCATTTCTCAAAAAGTTTTTTTAAAATCTGTCATTTTTTAGATTTCTTTTCATCAAATGCCATTTTTTTGTCTGTTAGTGTATAAGTAAAATTCATTTTTACCCCCACATCTCTTCTTCCACACATGATCTTTCTCTCTCTTTCTCAAATTCTTT